TCATGCTCGGCTGGAAGTCCACCCCCACACCACCCGCCTTCCCCTCCTTTGCAGGAGCTACAGTACAGCTAATTGAAGAGCAATGAACAAGCACCGGCTGATCTGATCTCAGCGAGCTGGTCAACTGTGCCGCGTCCATGGAACTCACAGCAGCAGCAATACATCCAGTGCACATGATGTACCTCAAATCATGCACTTCACTCATGTTTGAGAAATCTATACAGATACTCATCAAGGCAAGGCAAGGCAAGGCAAGTTTATTTGTATAGCACAATTCAACAACAAGGTGATTCAAAGTGCATCAGAGAAGAAATGCTTGCTTCTGTGTATTTTACACTTACAAGAGACTACTCAGGAGCAAACAGTAAAGTGTGAGAGCCTTACACTTTAGAGTGAGTGGGGGGGGCAAGGCTCTCAACAGTCAGTGAAAAATGTGGATTGCCCTTTTTTTCCCTCCATAACTCCAAAGTGTTTATCAGGGATGAAGTTACTTTTCACAGTATTTTTGATTTATTTATTTATTTTACCTCTGAATGCAATTCTTGGAATGGCAGGTATCTGTTTTAGAGTGAAATTACAAGTTTAGAAAATCAATAAAAGTAATAGAAAAAGATAGAGAGAACTGTCGTAGAAAACATGCTTTTGCGTTGCTGTTGAATTGTTGGACAGTAAATATTGTACTATTTGAATGAATGGCAGTCATGAAGAGATTATTTCATATTCAAATATGAGATTCTTCCAAAAAGTATGCCGCTGTGCAAGTGTGTGTGTGTGTGCGCGCACGCCAACAGTTTGAATGTCTCTGTTTTTTTCCCCCCTTGGTAAAGAGATAAATGTCTTACTTTAAGATAGCAAAGAGGAGAAGGAGCTAATGTGGCTGTCAAGAGAGATAGAGTGAGGTACAAATGGACAGAGAGAGAGAAACAGCAGTGACAGCATCTCTTCCTTGTCCATTTGCATAAACAGGCCTTTGTTTGACGCCGGTGGCCGGCAGCCAAGCACCAACAGAAGGACGGAAGTTAAACTAAAAAAAAAAAAAAGGATGGTCTTCTTCCAGAAAAATATTCCACCAGAAATAAATAATAACAATTATAACTATTCAAAAAAAAAAAAGAAAAGAAAAGAAAAACAACACATCAGTTACTTCGTGCAAAAACAACCATTATGTTGCTCTTCAGAGGAAGCACTAACAATTCAGAGGAACACAAAACCAGCGTCTTAGAGATTTGTATTAGCCAACATGAAAGTAATTGAGCTTTGCGGGATGATTTTGAGCAGAAAGACAGAAAGAGGCATTTATGAATATTGAAGCTTCGTCCAAGTTGTGAATATTATGCTGTGTCTGTTGCTGTGGAAATACTGGCCAGAGACTGTTTTGTGTGATACAATGCTATTGCATAAATATCCCAGAGTATGTTCGCACCATCGCAGCTCACACCATAATGCTTTTATTTAATTGGAAATTAATTAAATACATAAATAAGAATAACGAAAACAGTGTTTTGGGTTTTTTTGCCTCCTACTGTAGTTATTGAATCAATTTATCTTTATTTTAAACCTATTTCACGACATTTGCGTCTGTTTTTGCATCTTATTGTCGACGCATTAAAAACATCACAGGGCCACTAGACACTCCTGGCATGTCCCATCTGGCATGTAGCGTCACAAATTTCTCTCCTTCTCCATCATCACTTTTTTTTTTTTTTTACCTTGAGCAAGAGCTGGGCTCGCCATCGTGACCTCGATAGGCAGAGTGTTTGCCTTTCTCCCACGATGCACCTGGAGGGGACATGGCCGTCTTGAGGCCTGTCAGAGAGGCTGTTAGCGCTTCTCCCATGGGGTGGGAGGGGGGCTGACAGTGGAGATGTCCCACTCTATCTTTCTGTCACACAAACAGAGGCCGGGCCACTAATGGCCTCTCCTTCCAGAGCTTTTTAGCCGCCTTTTTCTTTTCTTTTCTTTTTTTTTTTGTGGTCTCGACTATTCATTTATTCATGTCATCCTTTCTTCTCCTTTTTTTCTCCTCCTCCTCCCCTCTCTTTTTACCCCCTCTCTTCTCCCTTTCTTGCTGTCCCACCGACCCAACTCTTGCCTCTATCCTGTCTCCCCCTCCCGTCCCTGTCTCTCTACCTGTCTCTCTCTGACCTTGCAGCAGTTGTATGCTGCTCAGCTAGCAGCCATGCAGGTTTCCCCTGGGGCCAAGCAGCATGGAGGCAGCCTTCCTCCCCAAGCCAACCTGGGCACGCACTCGCCACCCACCAACACACATTCACAGAGTGACAAGGTCCGCAGCTCCCCGCCACCAAATAAAACCAAGGTAAGAAAGAAGAAATGTAACATATCTGTGTGTGTGCGCATGTTTTTGTGGTTTGAAAGCTGGCTAACAAGGTTTCTTCGTCAATAACGAGCACGACTTGATGAATGTTTCAAAAATAAATAAATAAATCCACAGCTTAGGAAATAACATTTAATTCCTGAAGTTTTTAATTAGCAATCACATCTGCTTTTCAAATTCCTGTCTCTGATATCACTAAAGTGTTATTTTTCGACAAGTTTGCAAGAAAGCTGTCAATGGAATATTTCAGCTTTCTGTCTGTGGAAGTATTTTCCATAAGTTTTATTTTCTCAATTCAGCATCAGTCTCTATTTCTTTAAAAAAAATTCTTGATGGTAGTTGAAATATTCTTACTGCGTCGGGTAAATTCTTCCAGTTCATTCAGGGGAGAAAAAAAAAATCCAGTCAATTAATGCTCAAAAAGGCTTTAACGGCCTAATTACTCGAACTGCGCACACGCTGGCCTTTCCAGTGTGACCACGCTAGCTGAGAGTGAATGACTTCCAGTGCATGAGCTGAAAAATGTGTTCCCGAGTGTCGCAGACACATTTTTATGTTTTTTTTTCTCTTATCAAACAAGTGCCCCAAGCAGCGATCTGCTTCTCATTCTATTCTCATTCTATACCTTAGTACAACTTGGTCCTCGAATCAGTTCACCTCAAACACCAAAGGTTTATCAGAAACTTCCAGCTGGTATCTGGTCGGAATTCAGGATGTATTGGTGCTTCTGCCGTTTTCTCGGCTGGCTGCCCAATAGGGGCGAGGAGAAGCCTTGTGACCATCCAAGTGGAATTCTATGAATATCTGGTTGGCCATTGGGACACATACCACCTCTCTCACACACACACACACACACACACACACACACAGTTACACACACACACACACACACACACACACACACTCACACACACACACACACAACACACACACACACACACACACAACGCACACTCCTACCACCCTCTGTCCACTCTGTGACCCTCATAAATGTTATAGTCAATCATAAACACAGGCACTGTGTCTATAAGTAATTCTAGACTATCAAAATCCCACCAAGTTCGACAAGCTGAATTCACATTTGTTGCCACATAAATAAAAGCTTCCGGGTTTCCTCTTCTTCTGCCTTCCTTCTTCTTTCCTTTGTCTTTCCTAAACTCTTCTTTCCTGTCCTCTTTATTTCCACTTCCACATCTTCTTTGCTACTTCTAACTTCGTCTCTGTTAATTTCTGCGTTGTTCTTGCCCGGTTCCAACCCCTGTGTTTACTTACGCGCACACACACACACACACACACACACAGAAACACACACACACACACACACACACAGGACTGGTTCATGACAGATATTAAAGCATGTGGTTGACCCCAGAGCTTGCACCCCTACTTCCTTGTCCATCAGCCCCTCCCTACATCTCCATCACGCACACACACACTCTGCCATCCAGCCATCCTGCCCCCACTGTCACACACGTTATTACCATATATATGGAAGACAGGCAAGTGCTGTGGCCTGTGGTGGAGGAGAAGCAGGGAGTCGTAATGGCCTCCCCAGTCCAGCGGGAGTGGCTGACTGGGGAGTGGACCAAGGCGGACCCCGACAGTCTCCATAGAGGAAAAATCGCAGACTGACCACAGAGCTGTTCACAAACATTAGATAAGTGTTTTGGAGAGTTTTCTTTCTTGATTTCTTCTTTCTCTTTTCTTTCTTTCTTCCTCTTACTCTCTTTCAGGCTGACCACTGAGGTGCTCTCACTGATTCCCTTTAACACTCTTTCTCTCTCTCTGGTCGAGTGACATGTATATTTCAGTGGTGTGCTCTCCCTGTGGCTCTATCTCAGGTCTCTAGTCATTTAAAGGCCCACTGCCCGCCTCTGCTCACAGCTGTTTGGACTCAGGCTCACACTGCTTAAGTGCTTTACCCTCTGGTGATACACGGACAAACACACATACATTAAAAAAAAAAGCACACATGCACACACAGGTGTAGAGCTAGGCACCAACTAGAACCTACACACACACACACGGTCAAATCACTGCAGCTGCAATTACATGCAGCTTTCTTATATGCAAGAGTGGATCTTCAGATGCATACAGACCCACACAATGTTGTTTCAATGCACCACACGTAACCCGGTTGCTTCAATACTGCATCCCTATTTGAGACTATTTGATTGTGTAGTAATATGTTTTCTGCACATTGCTTATTTATCCTTTTAATGGCGATGTGCATTATCAGTGGGTACAGAATTCCCTTTGTGAAACCTTGATAGCCTCGTACAGTGCTTCTTAAAGTGGATTCAGGAGACCCTCAGGGGTCTACAGTAATTTGCTATAACTCATAATACTGTGCTTCATTATTTAAGAGTGCATATATGAAAATCATTTACTCAAATAATAGAAGTATATTGTGTTCAATATTCCTGCCCGTTTTATCTTCAAAACTCCTGCATGATTGGAGTCAGATAGAAAATCCACAAATCAACAAGTTAATTTGAGTGTGTGCCACACAGGAAACTACGACAGTGTAATTAATATCTGAACAGTCACTTATAGCTGGAAGGGAAGAAAGAGATGCGGAAGAAAAGAAAGATGCAGAGATGAAGAGTGAAAGGCACATTTAAGGGTCTTGTCCTTAGCACCCACCCCACACACACACACACCCCACACACACACACACACCCCTCTACACCTACACACACGCACGCAGCCCTGACTGGGATAAACTGTAGTGACACACACACTTGTCCTGTTAATTGAACCGTCAGCTCCTGCGATAAGATGCAGAACCCTGATGTCGCTTTCACATGTCGGCATCCACAGAAGTGAAATACAGCCCACACACACACACACACACACACACACACACTTTTATACGTGTTATCTCTCCCCTTCTGCTTCTCCTCTGTCTCTCTGTGTCCCTCTGGCTCTCACTGTCACTCTGCATGTTTTCGGTCTCAAAGCTGGAGACTGTTTCATCAGCCAAGAGAGACACAAAAGCAATTGTATTAATTCAAGATTCCAAGCCTTTCAGAGGCTTTAGAGGCCTCTCACACACATAAACACACACACACACTGTCATGAGATTTAGAGCTTGTTGAACAATGTCTTACAGTGACACACGCACGCACGCAC